TAGTCCGTCCTGCTAGGCGGCAGCCTGAGTCTGTCCTTCAGGTCAGCACCTCCAAAGGGGTTCCACATGGAGTGCCTGAACAGTGAGCAGTGATCTCCCGCAGGTCAGAAAGTACAGTGATAGTGACAAGTCCTGGCAGAGTGTCATGTCTGGGAGCCAAAGTGCTGAGCTACCAAGCTGCCTCCGGATTATGTTGCAATAGCTTAGAAATGTCTCCATCTTTATAAGATTTATTTATACTTATTTCATTTGCATTTAAATACTTTGCTCTAGTTATTCCTTAGAAAGAGATGAATGCTGCAGGGTATCATTAGCTTGTCCTGGGCATGTGGTGACAAAGTATGCTCACAGTGGTATGAGCTGTGAGGTCTTAGTTTCTACTCTACAGTCTGGAGGAAGGTACTGCTGTGTGAACCTCCTGAATTTTTCAGACACATCAGCACCCCTGGGTCTGGGCAGCATGAGCCACAGTGTCACAACCACGGGCTAGATGCAGAAGATGGTGGCTCAGGGAGATGTCTTGGTGTTCTTCTCCAGGGGGCTGCTTGTTTTAAGAAGGAGTAATCATTCTTCTACAACTCTCCTTGGGCTGGTTAGCCAAAGCTGGGCCACATGACCACCCTCTCTCTGATGGAAATAAGGCAGCAAACCTCAGAGTTTTGGGCTGTTCTGGGGGCAGCTGTTAGGAGCAACAGGCTGGTGGTCAGCTGTGGGCTGAAGGCATAGGTGGGTCCAGGTCCTCCTCTCTGCTGTCTTTTTGATGTGACTATGACCCTGTGCAATGGAAGTGTCTCTTTCCCTGCCCTGGAATCTCAGGTGGTCTCTGACTTGCCTGGGCAAGAGAATGGGGGTGTCTTTCCCTGCTCATACCTAAGAAGCCTTAAGCTCTTACACTTCCTATAAAAGCCATGGGGTGTGTTTGCTGAGCTGCGCCAGCCGGTGGCTTGTTCCAGACATGGCAGGAGGCTTGGCAAGTCCCCATGGTGCCACTTTGCAGACCCGGCTGGCACAGACACAGGAGTCTTCCCTGAGCCCAGTCAGTGCACTTCCAGAAATGCCAACCTGGGGAGCAAAAGCCAGCAGTGGCTGCCGTGTGTCACTGAAGTTTGTGGTTGTTTCTTCTGGTTATCAACTTGGCAATAGATCACCAATACGGAAACAATAGTGTGTGGAGACATGCTCAGTGTATATATCCACAAAGCATGAAATACACAGAGCAGACAGAATCATCCTGGGGCCTACTGGGAAGAGAGAGAAATCTATTCTTGGCATTTGGCAATGATTTCTCCATGGCTTTATTTTACTATATCCTTGTTTAAATCATAGACATTATACTATAGATGTAATTTTTTTTACTTAACAATATATCATGAGCTTTATTTCATTTTACTGAACATCCATGTCAGACTTCAATTTAGTACCATGTTAATATTGGTAATCTGTAGTGATCAAAATTTTGTGTAAGTGTTCTTCTGATTTTGGATATTTGAATTTAATTCTCTAATGTTATGAAATTGTGATGACCGTATCCACAAAAAACAGTCTTTCTCCTCCTGCAGATGTGCTTAGACATGGAGCACTGGTTGAGGAGGTCATCTTTCCCATCCTTGGCATGTCTGATTGCTTTCTAGGAAGTCTGAGCTGTGCCATGACCCACCATCAGGCACAGAAAGTTCAGTTTAATCCATTGACACCAGCTCTGAGCTCATTGGAAAGGTTTCCCCTGCACGTGTGGTGCAGTATTTGTTTCATTGTGTGCTTAAGGGTTATGCTCATAGTAGTCACTGTGATGGGACCACCCAGCCACAGATGTCCACTTTTTCTCTAGAAGCACCAGCACAAGGTTGGTCTGTGGCCTGATTCTGGTGTCAATGCTTAGGGGAATGTGGGAAAGTTTGGCTGGTCCCTCAGAAGATGATGTCCTCTTCCACTGTGCTCTGTCCTGCTGGGACAGCTGCAGTCTCTTGTCACCAAGAGAGCTGGCTTTTGGAGGACATCTCAGAGCCTCTGAGCTTGCCCACTCAGAGCTCACTCCACGAACTTGCGGTTATTTGTGGAAATATATATTTTTCACTGTTTCAGTCTGTTTGGTGTAAGGATCTGTTCAGGGCTAGGGCATCCTACTAATATGTGTAGGTACTTGTTGGCTCTCTGGCTCTCTTTCTGTCATTTATCCATCCAGGATCCCATGCCCACCCTCCTCAGCCTCTTGGAGAATTGAATCCATAACTCAACTGGAAAGTGTGGATGGCTTCTCACTCAAGCTCTTGTGGTGTGCTTGTATCCAAAATTTGTTTGAAACAAAATATTAAAGGAATAAACAGAAAAAGCAGATTGGTGGTATAACCATTCCTGGGTCAGCTCTGTATCATGGTTTTGAGGTCTCTGTGGTTGTGGAAACTGCTAACCACCTCTTTCACGAAGTCTTCTCTGTGGGGGTGGCAGGCAGGGAATAAGATGTCAAGCCCCCAGGAGGGGTCATTGGGCCCATCGTATGAGGACCTTCCTCTCCAAGAAGCTTCCAGAGTCTCCCTTCAGGCAAGGAGCACCAATGTTTCCAGTGGTCTCGGTGGGATGCACTTGATGGCAGTTCCAGGAATTCTGGCTCTACAGTTCTGAGAAGCAGGGCCCTCTCAGTGCTGTAAGAGGTGGGCTCGGGCTGGGGATTTAGCTCAGTGGTTTCGCCGCCTGCTGCGCAAGCACAAGGACCTGAGTTTGATCCCTGGTACCAAAAAAAAAAAAAAAAAAGAGGTGGGCTCCATGGAGCCAGTGTTGTGCATGGCAGATTCCTGGCATCTTCAGTACTGTGGTCTCTGCTTCTCTCACATGGCCCAGGGGTGTGGTGTTGGGTTAGGGGGGAAGCAGATGTTTTCAGATGCTTTCCTGGAACCAGGACAAGTCTTTCCAGAACTTTAGGATGATAAGAGACAAAACATTCTGGGGCAGAGAGCTGTGGTCAGATGTGTGGCTGCTGATGTGTCAAGTACACTGGGCAAGGCTGAGGAGCAGAGGAGCTGGCACGGCTGGACATGGGCAAGGAAGGGGCAGGCCTGGGGCTCCTGGTGTCATCATAGAGGCTGCTGGACCAGCACGGCACTTAAGGACTTACTGCTGCAGTAAGGGCCAGCACAGAGGACCAGCCCCCCATGCCAGAGCATATCCTCAGCCCGGAGGACCCAGCCTGGTCCCAGGCATCAGGGACTGAACTCTGGGTCTGCTATACTGCCCTGCCTGGGCGTCACAAGTGACCCAGAGTGTGTTGGGATGTGTTCTTGACCACATATGTACTACAGGGGAAGTCCCGACCCGGTGCTCACAAGGGGTTGTTCTGACCATGTACCCACAGTGGGGCAGATGCTTGACTACTATACACTGTGGGTTCTAGCAGGCAGCAGGGAGAAATTTAGGGAGATTCTTATTCTTTGTTTATTTGAGTGAAGGTCTCTGAATATTTTTAGCTTCTAATCCTTATTAATGGGTGATTATTGTCTCTGCTCTTAAAAATTTAAATTTCAAAATCACACAACTGCTAAAATCACTATGTTCATTCTGTTCATCACAGATCATAGACATACAGAAAAAATGTATTAAATGTATCAAATATTTTTTATTATTAAGTGTTCAGTGTTTTCATGTAAGGAATACATACAAACAGTGTTCTTAAAATTGTCTTTAAATAGTGAATACTTTTATTTTCATAGTATAAGGAAGAAGCAAGTGCTGCAGGTTCGTGATTTACAAATTATTATTAGTGAAGAAAAAGTATATATGGGTTTTTAAGTTAAACTGAGTCCATTTAAGAAAAAATTAAGGTAAATAGTGCTATATGTGGTAAGACAATATGGATAAAATTATGGTGATAAAAAATTGCTAAAACGTAAGAATACTGAATCATGGATAACATATATTCTCTAACAACAGATTTTTCACAGCATATACTTTTATTTTCTTTTCTCTTTTTTGATGGTACCATGTGACATCAGGTTAATCTGTTATTTTTGAATGGACTATGTTTTCTTTGCTATCACTATCTTGATATTTTATGAGAGTACATATTCTATTTTAAATTTTACTACAGCATACATTTAACTTTTCAAAATGATTATTTAACATATATTTTTGAAATATCATACAATGTGGACATATTTTGGGGGGTTTTTTGAGCTTTTTTCCCTTAGGAGAAAAAGACTATAGAATTATGTTTATTCTTCTGACTACTTCCCATTTCTACCCTCTCTTTATTGACATTTGTTAGTGTAAACTGGGAGTCCTACCCTGATCTTTTTTTTCCTATTCACTTTTTAAATCAGAGCTTTTTTTTTTTGGTACTGGGGATCGAACTCAGGACCTTGTGCATTACAAGGCAGGCACCAGAACCTCTGAGCTAAATCCCCGTGTCCTATTCACTTTTTTATCTAGTGGATCTTACTGGAGCTTAACATCATAATGAGACTGGGAAGTTTCTTATCTCATTTATTATAACCCATCTGGGTGGTCTTGGCCAGCCAGCATTTCTACAGTGTAACTTTTATGTTCCTGAGCTAATTTTTGCTTCTTACTGCAGTTGGCTGAATGTGTTTTCAAGTAAAATTTCCCAAGAATTATATATTTTGTAAGTTCTGCATATTTGACATGATTCCTATTTCTTTTAACTAAATTTACTTTATTGATTAAAGGGTGAAATATAATTTTAAACACATAAGCCTATCTGTACACGTGAATAAAAATTTGACTGGGTTTTAAATTCGAAGATTGTAGTTTCTTTCACTCCTTAAACTCTGTGTACCTGTATCATTATATCCTGGCATATCTTGCTGGTTGTGGAATTCGGAGATACTTTGTATTTTTTATATTTTTTTCCTTCTAAATGCTTATACTATTTGGCTAGTATCTGACCTATTGTGATGAGGGATATTTAAAGACTGGGTGGAGGGCCGGGGATTTAGCTCAGTGGTTCCACCACCTGCCTTGCAAACCAAGGACCCGCGTTCATCCCGGTACCAAAAAATTAATAAATAAATAAAATAAAGGCTGGGTGGAATGCATTAGTATCACTACAAATCTGAATCTGTGAGAGACTAATATCAATATCATTGGGAAACATAAACCGTAGACTTAAATGATAATGAGCCTAAAAATAATATTTCAGTGTGCTAATGACTCATAAGCAAAGCATTTTACAACAGAGTCATTAGGGTTTAAGAAGATGCCCCCAGTTTTCTGTGCCCTGATGATGTGGGCCCAAGAGTGGCACTAGGGGACTTTCCAACTTGGGGTGCCTCGGAGGGGCAGAGAGAAAGGTCAGTGGAGGGCCCTAGGCTTAGCTTGGTGGCAGCTGCTTGGGTTTATGGTTCTGGAGTTGCAGCTAAATGAAAGGAAATAGGTGGTGCTTTCAGCTACGAGAAACAGAAACTCTGACTCAGCTGGGTCTAAAATGAAGCAGAAGCGATCACCTCACACACCAGGAAACAGGAAGCCAGGGTAGGTGTGGCCAGTGAGTAAATGATTCAGGGTTTAACAATGGCAGTAGACTGCAACTCTTTCTCTTCCTCGCCTGCTGCCCATAGCAGGAGCTTCAGCTGCAACAGAGGAGCCAAAGGCAGCAACCAGGTGGTGTCTGTATTCACATCAGCTGTCCAAGGGACACAGCTCAGCCATGGGGTGCAAAGCTCTGTAGTCCGCTGGTCAGTTTAAGTCCTGTCCCCATCTGGGACTCAACCCTTACCAAAGGAAGCCCCTGCTGTGTCTGATGCAGACCTAGGCTGGGAGCCACCTGGCCCAGGCTCCCTGATCCACCCCTGCAGCTGGGAAGGAAGCCCCAAGTGGACAGATGGAAACTGTGGGTCTGTCGGTGGGAGGAAGTAGTTCCCTGGTTGGAGCTGGGGCAAATTGCTCACACTTCTTTCTGTGTTCTAACTGGAGAAGAGAGAAAAGAGCCAAACAAAGATGAACCAGAGTCTCTGCTAACCAAGAAAGTGCCTCAGAGTCCCCAAAGGATAGGACTTGGTGCCCAAGTTGGATTTGGACCTCAAGATGGTGCACAGGTATGTGCCTCCTACAACCTCCCAATTCTGGGACTTAGGGCTGCAAAAACTGTCCTTACCACATAGCAGGCTCCAGGTAGATTTGCATGTGACCCATGGTATCAGGGAGCATGGATTATGGTCTGGGCCAGGCCCCCAGGCAATGCAGAGAGGAAAAGAAGACATCAGACTGCAGGCTGCCAGGACTGTCCTGGACCCTGCCCAGGTCACTATCACAGGGGCAGGAGCAGAAAGGGCTGCTGTGCTGGCCACACATGTGCTCCTGACTTGAGGGATGATTTGCTGGGCTGGGAGTGCAGCACTGAGGTCATTCTCAGCAGACAGGTGAGCCCCGCCAACACACACACACACACACACACACACACCAGCTGAGCCTGGCTGCTGAGTGTTGCTGGGGTAGAGACAGGATGGGAAGCTATCTCAGCCTGGCATGCTGGGCCTTCTACATGATAGTTTGACAAGGCCCTCACCAGACTCTGTGACCATCCAGCTCTTCCCCAGGCCATCCTCTCAGTCTCTCTTCTGGTGCTACTGCTTGGATTGCTGCCCTTTTCTCCTTCCTGAAGGCTTTGCCCACTCACCTCTCTTCCTGTGTCTCTGTCCAGAGGCCCCGTGGCACATCTCACTTCAGACTTCATTAGTGACCAGACTACAGTGTGGAATGTCCTGGGTGGATCAGGTGTTTTGTAACACACACCTCAGCCTTCTGACCAACCTATGACCTGAACCCTGTGATTCTACACTCAGTTTCTAGAAATGGACATTTGAGGTGCAGTCTCAGCCCAGCAAGGCTTGGCCAGGTGAAGTTTGCAGGCCCTGCCTCCTTGAGTCACAATTCCCTTATTGGTAAAAGCAGGGAGAATAGTAATTACCTTAGGGTGGTGAGGTAGGCCTCAAATTAAACAGTGACTCTGGGGCAGCCAAGATATGTAAGAGTCCATGCTTAAGGATGACTTCCCCTGTGATTAGTGGTGGTGGTGACCTATGTCAAGAATTCTTGTGAGGCTATTGGCCCTGAAAACACCTGGGGAGCCTGTGGCTGTGACCTGCCTCATAGACTCATGTGCCAGAAGGAGCGCTGCAGGTATTTTGGTTCAAACCTGCTTAGATATACATTGCTCTGCTCATATATTTTGAGTCTTGTTTTAAAGAATTCTCTGCCCTTGCTGGCTAGCTCATTGTCCAGGAAAATAGGAAAGCAAAAAGTCCTTTTCTGCTGGAACTGAAAAGTAGTTGGGGAGTCCCTAGAGCAGGGATAAAAATCTGGAGCTGCACCTTGGAGCAGACGCTCCTACTGAAGCCAGATGGTGTTTCTGAGAGGGGGACACTGCCAGCCATTCCAGGGCAGCTACAGTAAATATAGTAAATAAGATGCAGCCCAGGAAATACTCTTGGACCTGTGATCACATGTGACACCGCCCAGTGAGCCACCCCGTTAGCCACTCACCAAACACATGTGAATACTGTGGAAGGACCACTGGGTGAAGGCTGTAGAGAAATTATTTAAATTATCTCATTTTTTCTATTATAATAAAAATAATACACAAAGACTGTGATGAATGAAGTTAGCGTTGGATTGCAGAGTGCCCTTATACATATAAAAATACCATAGAGTGCATGTTCAAAGGTAATTTTTTGTCATAACAATTGGAATCCTCTGCCAAAAGTGTTGTTCAGAGCCTATACTCCCTTCTCTCACAAAAGAAAGGAGAGAGAGAGAGAGAGTGAGAGAGAAAGAGAGAGAGGGAGGAGGGGGGGAGCTGTTTAGTTGTGCAACAGTAATAATCTTGAAGATCAAGAGTCTGAGTAAACAGATCGGATGTTGGCAAAGGTGTTCAGGTAGATCCCTTCTTATTACAAACAACAGTAGCAATTTTGAAAACTCATATGGAGACAACTTTACATTAAAAAGTCTCTTTATTGCCTTTTTTTCCCTGTGAGTGAAGTGAAGATAGTCTAGTTTAAAAAAGCAAATTATTTGGCAAAACTAAGAACTGCCCACAGGTAGAGGAAGAAACCATGCAGGAATTTTGGTTCAAAACTGTTTTAAGATCTGTATTAAAACTGTATTGCCTACTGTCTTTGAGCCCTGTTTTAAGGAACTTTAAAAAACTAAACAACAGGCCCAGGATCTAGGTCAGTGGTTCTGCCGCCTGCCTCACATGTGCAAGGACCCAAGTTCGATCCCCAGTACCAAAAAAAAAAATCCAAACAAACAACTAAACAACAAAGAAATGGGAAAAGACCAGGGACACAGATGCTCTGTAATTCCCTCTGCTTGCTGTGTTCCACTTGGAGAGCCATAGTTGGGCTGGTGAGCAGTATGCATACGTTCTTTCTGTTCTGTTTCTCTACAGCTACAGGAAAATAAAGGCAGGATAGGAATAACTGGCTGGCTCCAAGGCTGGGTGGCATGGCGGGCAAGCATTGCAGAGGAGAAACAGTTCATGGTGGGCAGAAGATAACAAAGTAAGCAAAGGATGATCACAGCTCTTTCTATTTCTTATATTTTATCCAGGCTACTTAGGACAGGTAGCACTCACACCCTTAATCCTAGTGCTCTTGATCCTAGCAATGCATCATGAAATCAATCCCAGAATCACAGACTCTAAATCTAGCCACCTCTGAAAAAGCCCCACCTATGACCACATGAGGCTTGGGGGGGACATCTAAACACAAACAATAACAGAAGGTAATAGGAAGAAGGGTATGAGCATGATATTTTCTATACATCAAAGGCCCCCCACCCCCACCCTGGAAAGCAAAAGAACTGGAGGGTGCTATACATTTGACTCTGCTACATTTATTTATTTGTTTGTTTATTTATTTCTTTAATATTCTTTACAGTTCTCCCCACACCAGCACCTGTGGATCTATTTCTTTCTTTTTAACCACTTGGTTGCATGGCTATATCATGATTTTTCTAACAAATCCTTGCTGATTAACATTTGGATTCTTCCTGATTTTTGCTATTACAAAAAGTGGTACAGTGAAAATCCTTATCTATAAGTACTTTTGAACTTTGTGAGTGTTTCTCTACATAAATCCTGAGGCATAAAGTTGGCTGGTGCATCTCCAAGCCCCTGGCCCTCTCCACTCACTCCCACCAGGGTGGACAGAGTTTTGCCCACCTTCTCTTGAGGAAACAGAGAGCTGAGTGCTTGTCATTGATAGCAGCTCTCGGGGACCATAGCTTCTGCTCCCCACAGGCCACAATAGTAATGGGGGCACCAGACCAAAGGGGAGTATCAGTAGAAAATAACCCAAGAAACTAACATTATTTTGCATAGTTATATGAAGTAGGAATTGCACTGTGAGAAGAGGACCTTGCAGATTAAAGGGCAGAGATAGTTTCTCTCTTCCATTATGTTTTTAGCAGTTCTTCTAAAAGCATGGTCTTTGGATGATCTGAATTAGAAGCTTTGGGGCAAGGATTTCCTAGATTCCAAATTAGATCAGTGGGACCAAACCTGCACTGAGCCCTGCAGCTTGCTTCAGTGGTTTCTGTGTGAGCCATAGTTTGTGAATGTGATCAGATTCTGCTCTCTCACTTAGCAGGTGACTTTCTCTCCCCTGTATGTATATTGGGATCCTCATATATTCAGACTTACTGCCACCATCTCACTCTGTTACATTGATTTGCCATGGTTTTCCATGCCTTTGTTGTATATTTAGTTTTTCTCCACCTCTTATTGAAATGACTGTATTTTCTTTATTTTCTGTTGCCTCCAGAGACCAAAAGTTACCTGTTCTGTATTAGCTTGTTCAAGCAGCTGCTCCACTTAACAAGATCTGGGATAACCCAAATTCGGATCTTCCTCTGAAGGATGCAAGAACCTTGGAACCTTTAGCCTTTGTCACCCTCTGTCTCTCTTCCTTGTTATTGGTCTACTGTTTTGTTTCAGTTATTTATTTTCTGTGGTGGTGGGGATAGAATCCAGGGCTTCAGGTATGGTAGGCAAGTGCTCTCCCACTGAGCTGTACCCCAGGCTGGTCCAGTATTTTAGTCTCCTGTTGTTACTAAAACACCTTATCATTTTTACAGTTGTTGCGTTGTTTCAGTGTGCTGTTTCTATTATTGATTCTTCCTGTCAGAGTTTGTTTACATTTGCCATTGTTTCCAAATACTTCATCACCCAGCCCATCATGCATGCTGATTCCTGTTTTCCTCCTGGGTTTGATCTTCTTCTCATGGATATGGCTCTCCTGTGGCCGGCATCAAAGTGATTCTGCACGTGGTAAACCCTTCAGTCTTGTCTGAATGCTCCCCTTACTCATTATAGAACAACAGTTCAGTGTAACACAGTATTATAGATAACTAAGTTAGGTAAAAATACTATAGGCAGTCAGACAGGGCTAGGCCCTGGAGGGAATCAGGGTAAAGGAGAAGAACACATTACAACACTGCCTAGAGGCACATCTGTTAAAAGCCAGGCCTCAAGATAAAGACAGAATGACCAGGCCTACATGCCTCCCTGAGGGATAAGATAAGTGGTATCATCTGGTCCAATAACATCTAGATAGACATCAGTTTCCCAGATGGGTGACTAGGACCTCTTGATCCATGCCTCCTTAAAAAGGTCTTTGTTCTTTCCATGTACACTTGCTACGTGACCTGCTTTTCCATTAGCTCAATATTACCTAAGCAGCTATACTTGTAATCTGATTGGTTGATCATAGTTTTGACTCACATTGTACTCACTTTTTGATTTTGTACACACTTGGTGATTTTGCTCTACAAAACTTCCTTTGAGAAGTGGGATCATTCAGAACCCACTTTCAGGTCCTCTCCTGTCTCTCAGGAGCTCTCTCTCTCAATAAACTTTTCCTACTCTTTACCTCCTTTGTTCCTTAAAATTCATTCTTCGATTTTGAGGAACGTGAACTTGGCTTATCTGATGTCTGGTCTAGAGTATATGTGAATCTTGGGCATGGGCCACCTCCCCTAAGGTTGCATCTACCCAAGAGTGGTTGCCAAGTAGAGGTAGGGGGTTTTTGGG